TTGGTTGGAGGCCATTGCTATTAGGTTGAGGCCATTGCTGTTAGGTTGGAGGCCATTGCTGTTGGGTTGGAGGCCATTGCTATTTGGTTGGAGGCCATTGCTATTAGGTTGAGGCCATTGCTGTTAGGTTGGAGGCCATTGCTGTTAGGTTGGAGGCCATTGCTGTTAGCTTGAGACCATTGCTGTTAGGTTGCAGGCCATCGCTATTAGGTTGGAGGCCATCGCTATTAGGTTGGAGGCCATTGCTATTATGGAGGCCATTGCTGTTAGGTTGGAGGCAATTGCTGTTAGGTTGGAGGCCATTGCTGTTAGGTTGGATGCCATTGCTACTAGGTTGGAGGCCATTGCTATTTGGTTGGAGGCCATGGCTATTAGGTTGCGGGGCATTGCTATTAGGTTGGAGGCCATGGCTATGGCCTGCGAAAAATCTTAAAGCTCACACTGTTAGTATAGGTCATTTACCAACTTTTACAACAAAAAACCTTCTTTCAGCAAACTCTCAAGGACTCAAGTTGCAAGAGGGACTCAAGGGTGAACATGATATGGTTATGGTCCATCTCTGAGCACCGTTCCAATATTGGTCTTCAGCTAACCGTCTCGGGATCTCCCTCAATGTGCACCATTGCATATATTAGAAGTCCTAGTGCCACTAGTTGCCATGCATGGTGCTGCTACTATATCATGCAGGGTCACGGACACTCTGTGTGCGACCCTTCTAAGGACACAGCCGAAGCCATCAGGAGGGCTCATGAGTACTGGCCAACCAAGGTTCTTCTCGAGGAGGGTCTCTCACATCAAGCCAGATGTTCCCAGATACTCCAATTGCTGAACTGCAAAACTTGAGGCTTGGAACATCTGAGAACTGACAGGGCTTGGGCGCTGTGCAGGACCAAGCTAAAATTCACAGGGCTCAGGGCGGCCCACGTCACCCTCCCACTAACACTACTACTAGGAGCAAGGACGCTACTACAAGCTCCTGGCCTTACTACTAGGAACAAGAAGCTACTAGGGGCTCCTGGCATCGCTACTAGGAGCAAGGACGCTGCCAGGCTCCACTAGGCTCCCCAGCATGAACCGATGGAATTCTCCCACCGTGAGGCCTCCACTTTGAGGGCGCCGACATGTCATTGAGATGAACATAGGTGAGCTGTCTTCACATGCCGCTTTTCTTCATATGAGGATCTTCAAATGTTTAGTAGTAATGCCCTTTGTTCCTTGTAGCTTCTGGCTCCTAGTTCTAAGGCCAGGAGCCCCTAGTAGCGTCCGGTCGCTCCTAGTAGTCAGGCATGTTTTGGTAAAAACCATCCTTCCGATTCCACGCGAAGGGACGACGGATATCACACTCAGTCGCCTCGACTCGGTGCCTCGATCGGCAGCTCAGACTCCTGGCGACGCTTCGGTGCACTCGGTGAACCGGCGGTGCGTTCGGCCCTCGGCGGAGGCTGAGATGTCTTGGAGATGGCGGAGGCTGATGTGTCAATTAGTTCATCTTGCTGTGAGACTTGTGGCCTCTTTCAATCATGGAATGCAGCAACTTCCTGGGATGGCGAAGAAGTGGTCAAAGG